TTAAACAGAATATTATCACAAGAGTATAATCTATATAGTTTTTAAACTGAACCCATAAAATCTTTAAATTCAACTGTATAATTGGTGAATGGCTTTTACTTATATGAAGGATATTACTTTATTAGTAAAATTTCGGTACTAATCTTCAATCAGAAATTTAGGGACAATAATATTAAATTACCAGTAACGAATGAATTTTATATCATTGAAAATTGTTCAAGTACAAATATAATATTACGTATTTGCTAACTATATGTCATTACATGATCGTATGATGAAATATCGTAAGGTTAGGATCTTTTTAATATATAATACTCTTTTTTAATTTCAAGCATCAGTATTTATCGCCAAACACTCCAGGCAATGACTGACAAGGGTGAGCCAGAAATTGATGTGATCAATTATTTACAAGTACTCCAAGAAGATTTTGATATTCTCTTTAAAAATATTAATCATACGACTGAATTGACAACAAAGAGGAAATGGGTCGGTATTTTTGATGTTGATAATTATTTTGAAGGTGTTTTTATTTATAAATTTAACTTCTTTTATCGCACTTTGAAGAGCGATGATGACGATTCTATATCAACTGCAGTTGAAAACAACATGCTAAAGAACCATGTGCAAAAATTAACACAAGATAAAAACGAAACCAAGAAGTCAGTTGAAGATGAAGTAAGTTTCTGGAAAAGAAAATTTAGAGTATCATGGTGCTAAACAAAATAACATTTAATTCCAGTATTTTGCTGCCGTTGACAAAATTGAGACGGGAACTTCTCATTCGACAAACAATATTATTGAATCCGGTTCACCGACAAACTCACACCCTTCTATATCACAACATCTCTTTGTTCCTTATCAATCATCTCCTATTTCTCTTCAATCCGAATCGTTCGATGAGATTTCTACCTTTTCAACAGCAAACAGTTTCGTTATTGATGAAATAAACCATTCTGCAGCAACAACACTAACTTCTTTTATTGAGGCAATAGAGTCAACAATTCTTGAAGCTTATAAAAGCCTCAGAAGGTCTGTAAAAATCGTGTTCTTTGCCAATGGTAGGATTCCAATACTTTATTATGATCATACTTCTGCATCGGCCACCATCACATATGAAGATCAAAAAATTAAATATATGAAATTTGCTGATAACGGATATGGAATCCTGGGTGAATACTATTCAGAGATTATAAATCACTTTATTCATATTTTTCCAAATTCAAAGGGAGAAATTGGTGGTAATTATGAAAAAAGGTGGATAGAAGTAATCGAATTTATAGATAAGGATAAAGTTTTGGAGCTTGCTCGTTTTAAAAAGAGAAAAATAGATTATTGAAATTTCTTGCTGTTATATTGCATTCTTGTAATAATTTGCTTATGGATTTATGCGTTTATTTCATTTTCAATTTCAAATAATACATGTTTCTGCCTAGAAAGTTAATATGCGATATATTAATGTTAAACAAAAGTTTGAAGTTCCGTTTGATGTAAAAATGAATAATAATCAAATTCGGTATCGGTATATAAACTTTTTTTTTTTTTAACCCGAAATCGAGAATAATAAATGACCAAACGATTTAATCACTAACAACCAGTTATTGGTCATTTCAAAACCTTACTTTATAGTGCTGCTATAGCCAAAACCCTCATACTAGCTTGGATAGCAACCGAAGGAAAACAATAAGAGGAAAAATCTAGAAACATATTTAGAATAGGTGCTGCCAATTCATATAATTTTTTCAAAAAAAAATTTATTGAGCTTAACTAATCCAAACTTAATAGATAAATATTATTGTATTAATAAAATTTTACAGTATAGCCTTTTAAAGTTTGTATTTCTTATAATTTAATATGCCTCAAAAATCACTTATTTATCTATGTTAACTGAATTTGATTAATAAATAAAAACATTGAGATGTTTGACCCCAAAATTAGCCAATCATGATTGAGAATTATTTGAGTGTCGCTAAAAGAAAACCCAAAATTTAAATATGACTTATATTTAAATTTTCGGGTTTTCTTTTACCGACACTCATTTGTCGTTAAAATTTATTACAAAGCATCCGAATTCACCCTTACTCATTATACAACCAATCGTTCAATGACAAATCAAATAGAAGCTAAAAACTTTTTTATTGAATGTTTCGTTTGTTATTCTCTACGTCACTTAATAGCAAACGTTCGTGTAACATGTTATCGAATAAAAATCAAATCGGTGGATATGGATTACGTTTTATCACTAAAAATTGCCATTTACTAAATTTCAATTTTTGTCTCACGCGATATGTGAGATATATGCTAGGTTCGCGCGAGGCACATAAATGCCTGTTTTTTCTTTCGAATTCGTGCCAAAATGTAAAAAAAAGAAATAAATCATTTTTACCACGAAAACATGTTTTATGAAAGTCGTGCAGATTAAGAGATTAAGAGATCATTGAGATAAAATTTCGTAGTTTACTTAATTTACAACGGAAGAACGGCCTTGTTTATTGCAACACAAAATCTTGTGTAACGTTGGCGCATAAATCGAACTTCGGTTATGACATATTCCTTCTATATTTATATTTAGGCTTCTTCACTTTACGACACTCATTTTTACAATGGATACGGAAGACAATATTCAAGAAGTTCTCGGGTCTGAAGAAGAAGTTGACTCTGGCAATGAAACTGAAGAAGGGGAAGACGATTCATATGAAGATTCTTCTGAAGAAATGGAAGAATCTTCGGAGGGTGAATCTGAAGCAGAAGAAGAAGAACCAAAATTGAAATATAAGCGTCTTGATGCCGCTGAAATATTAAAAAACGACGCTGCAAGTACATTGGCAGTATCCGATCGCTTCGTGGTACGGATCAATCTAGTGTTAAGCAATCAAGTTTTTTTTCCCTTGAATGATAAAATTTAATCATATTTAAAGGCTTTGGGAACACACAACGGCGGCGTCTTCATATTAGACTTTGATGGAAACCTGATCAAACGATTTTCATCACATACAGCAACTGTCAACGATCTGTCAATAGATACAGCCGAGGAATATGTTGCCAGTGCTTCAATGGATGGTATATATATATAGATATATATATATATTGGTTTCTTTTTAAATGCAGGCATTGTGTTTATTTATTACATTCATTTTAATAAATAGGCAAAGTCGTCATCCATGGAATGTACGTTGACTCCGTTCAAGTTTTTAACTATCGACGTCCACTCAAATGTGTCGCGCTAGATCCTGATTTTAGCAAGAAAGATACTCAACAATTTGTATCAGGTGGCTTGGCTGGTCAACTAATCTTGAATGAAAAAGGTTAGGAAAATAAATAATATTTACTTTTAAGAAAACTTATACTAATAAGTGCATAATAATTGATTTTTAGGTTGGTTTGGCCAGAAGCAAGACAAAGTACTTCAACATTCTGGGGAAGGTCCAATATATGCCGCAAGATGGAAAGGAACACTAATCGCTTACGCTAATGACGAAGTACAAAATTAATTTCCTTATTTAATAGTTCATTCATCATGGTATTAAGAAAAAAACTACCTTTCATAGGGTGTGAAAATGTATGATACTCAATCACAACAACGAATTACTTATATAAAACGGCCTCAAAATAGCCCACGAGCTGATTTATATCGTTGCAACCTTTGCTGGCGTACCGATACTCAGTTGTTAATAGGCTGGGCCAATTACATTCAAATAGCTACTGTTAAAGTAAGCTCGTTTTGCATTTTGTACAAATATTAGTTAAACCTAACAATATCATTTTTTAGGAACAAAATATATCAGGCCATCCGCCACTCTTTGCTGAAGTTAACATGATATTAAATACAAATGATTATATTGTGTGTGGTCTCGCTCCATTTGGTAATATGACATTAATATTAGCTTACCTTATTGACATCGTAACAAATGAGGATTTAGATGACTCAGAACAGCGTAAACGCCATGTAAATATTATAATTTCGTTCTCTTTAAAAGGTCGAAAATTTTAAAGCATAAATTCATCTGAGCTGAACAATTTATTATATAGCAAGCTAAATGTCCTGAACTTCGAATTTTGAATTCATCTAATGATGAGATTTCAATTGATGCATTACCACTTCATGGATATGCTCATTATCAAGCTAATGATTACGTGCTTGATTATTTTCCGTCGGAAGAAGACATGTTTTACGTTGTTAGTCCAAAAGATCTTGTATTGGCGAAGCCACGCGATTCCGATGATCACGTTGGTTGGCTTTTGGATCGTTTTAGATATGAAGAAGCTCTGGTATCGCTTCAGGAGGCTCAAGCTTGGGGTGGCAGTAAGGTCTATAACTTAGATGAAATTGGAGAGAAATACTTAATGTATCTAGTTAAACAAGGTATGAAATTTTTGCCGCTAAACCAGTGTCTGAAATTGGATTACGGACTGCAAACGATTTATAAGTTTCCGCAACTAAAATCTGATATGCATATGCGGTTACGCAAATGAATTTCGTGAATTTTGCATATAGATATCTTCATATGCACAACTAGATTCAAACAATCCGCAAATAGTTTTTTTTTTTTTTATTAGTTGTAGCCCTGCAATTAAATTAAAATTGAATTTCAGACACTATGCTAAACTCCGAAATTTGTTTACCTTATTGAAAGATTTGCATTATAATATTTCTTAACAGAGGAGTATACAAAAGCTGCTGAAAATTGTAAAAATATTCTTAAAACAAATAAAGAATTATGGGAAAAATGGATTTTTACGTTTTCTGAATTGAAGCATCTAAAGGTCTGCACAAAAGATAAATAGATATTATGTTTTTTATTTAAATTATTTTAAATAATTTTACTGAATTTTCTTTAGGAAATCGCAACACATATACCATTTAAAGATCCACAACTCAGTAGTACTGTATATGAAATTGTGTTGGCATACTTTTTGAATTATGACCATAAGGTAATGTATATTATAATGTTTAAAACTTTTAATCTTATCTCACACCAACTCTTCTTCAGACCTTGTATGAAACCATAAGGAGTTGGCCATCAACAATTTATACTATTCAAAGTGTTATTGAGCCTATTGAAGATGTTTTGGAAAAAGAACCTGAAAATAAAACTTTAATGGAATGCTTGGCTGAACTGTAAGGAATAGTGCTTTTTCACTTATTTTTACTATATTACTGGTTTTAACTATACCTTGTCATTATAGATATGCTTACAACCGTGAACCTGAAAAAGCACTTGAATATAATCTTCGTTTGCGTAGACCAGACGTTTTTGATTTAATAAGAACTTATAATCTATTCTCAGCTGTACAAGACAAAGTAATTCTTTTGATGGACTTTGATCAGCATCTTATGTCAGAGGCCCAAAAGGAAAATGAGACGAAGGATAAACAAAATTACATGCATGGTGTACCACAAGTCAAAGCAAAGAATATGCCAGCAGTACAATTATTAATTGAAAATACTGATTCAGTTCAGGTGTGCTTTATTCTTATTTATTATCTAAATTTCAAGTCATTTCTGAATATTATAATCTTGAACATTAACCATTATATTAAAATAGATTAGTCATGTTGTTAGTCAATTACGATCTCATCGTTATTATTTGCACATATATTTGGATGCATTATTTACTCGAGATCATCATATGGGATTTGAATTCCACGACCTTCAAGTAGGCTTATAATATTACCATCCTTACTCTATTCAAATGTTATATTTCATTATATAAAGGTTATTTACCACGTTAAAATTTAGGTAGAGTTATATGCAGAGTATGATTATCAAAGATTAATAGAATTCTTGCGTGCCAGCAATTACTACACTCTAGACAAGGTATGTTTTAAAGTTGGTATAATAAAATTGTATTTATTTATTTTTTAACAAATTCAATAATAATTAAAAAAAACAGGCGTTTGAAATCTGTAAACAAAGAGATCTAGTTCCGGAAATGGTTTTTATTCTTGGTCGTATGGGTAATAATAAACAGGCTTTAATGTTGATTATAGAACGATTAGGAGAGGTTCAGCGTGTAAGTAAATAAAATAATTATATTATCATAATGGCTTATTTATTAAACTATATAACTATTTTTTCTATGAACCTTTTAGGCAATTGATTTTGCTAAAGAGCAAGATGACGATATACTATGGGAAGATTTATTGAGATATTCATTAGACAAACCGCGTATGTGTGCAGATAATTAGACTGTATTTGTATTAGTATATCATTTTGTTTAAAAATAACATTATTCTTACGTGTATAACAGCTTTTATTACTGGCTTATTGGAGAATCTTGGTAACATTAGTATTGATCCAATAAAACTACTCGAAAGAATTCCTGATGGCTTAGAAATCGTTGGACTTAAGCAAGCTTTAATTAAAGTCCTTCAAGACTTTAATTTACAGGTTTAAACTCATTTTATATATTGTATTATCACTTGAAATTACATAAAATAATCGTTTTCGTGATCTAGGCGTCTTTAAGAGAAGGATGTCAAACAATATTAGTGAGTGACAGTGTGTCCATGGCTTGCCAGCTTCATCGTGCACAGAAACGTGGGATTTCATGTGGAGGTACAGTTCCAGATCTAATTATTTCTCTTACATAATTATTTAATTCACTCTATACAAATTAATACAATGAATATATGCATTTAAAAGACGATATGACTTGCAGTATTTGTTCGGCACCTATAATCAAAGATGGTAATTATGAACATTAAATTAAATACACTAGATTTTGTTTCATGATTCGCAAGATACATTCTTTTAACATGATGAATTCGTTTTATGTTTCTTTTAAGCCATTGCGTTCGATGTTGCTTCAACACACTTAATATTCTTTTGTGGTCATACTTTCCACGAAAAATGTCTTTTTGAAAGTAATTCAATTCCGAAACTGCCAGAAAACTTTAATAAACCACATTCAGTTGGCACAAAAGTTCGTCATGCAACTGTTCTTCAATCTATGGCGCCTAAGTCAAGATGTCCAATTTGTAACGAATCGAATCAAACCGCTAAGCAAAAAGAAAAACCCACTAGAATTCGTGGTTTTGTTCGCAGCCCCAAGGATGATGATGGAATGCCTCCAATGGTTCCTCTAAGACTGTGAAATGTATTTACCGTAAAAAGGTTGTGAATTTAGGATAGTATATATGACTAGTTAATTATATAAAACATAGTAAATTTTGTTTCTTTTTAAAGAAATTTTGTTAAATAAATTATTTTTAAATATCTAATAAAAGTTGTAAAGTAGGCTTTTCTGATTTCAATGGTAATATCATCTTATGTTCTTTGCATTTTTCACCTTTTTGTTACTATATCACTTTCAAATTAGTAACTTTTAGATTATAGACCTTTATGATCTTCTAGTTTGATGTACCTATTATTGTTTTCTATGGTGTTTCAACAATATCTAGGATCTATAAGAAAATTTATATCTTAAGCCAGAAACTACTATCTAGTTAGATTCACTATATAACAAAGTTATATAGTATTATATTAACAGATAAACCCTTCTACTTATCTGTCTAGATATTACTAACACATATCTTAAACTAGCCTTTGTTGCTACTATTTTTTTTAAATAAATATCCCAAGTCTTAATTCTATTATATAGCAATTCAGTGCTACTATATTTCTAATTTATACTTCTTTATATGATAAGAAAACAAAACTTCTTTTATATATATGCAGAACAATTTTGATTATATTTAGAAAATTATACTAATTTAAGTAACACTATACTACTATATAGTACAAGCTCTTAGCCAAAGATATATCATAGTATAGAATACTTCTGGTTATATTTAGAGAGTTATCTTGATCCCAGTAATACTATATTTTTTGTTTTTTATTTTAGTAGTCAGATCTTTTTAAATACATATCATTAAAACCAGCTTTAAAGTATGCATTTAGAAAGGGTTGCAATTAAAGAATATTAAAAAATCACAATATAATTATTATTATATACTAAACATAACTTTAGTAGACTAGAATAATGGATTTGATTAGTTGATAATTATATAAATGCATTTATAAACAGAGTTTTTATAAGTAGACTAGACAATTAATATACATTTACAAAATAAAGAATGTACATTTATCTATAAGTCCTACTATGGGTCTAGGCTTATATTATATTTTTAGGGGTGCTGTATTTAGAAAGGTGTATTTAGAGGAGTCTAACTGTATATAGTTTTTTCATTACTCAGATTGGTATATATATTATTATTAATATATCTTTAAATTTTCTTTTGTTAATAAACTTTTATATAAATATAATTATTGTTTAATAAAGGGTGTGGTGACTTAGTGAAGTGGTTGGGTTATCATCCCTCTATGCGGTACATCTAGAGTTCAATTCCCACCGATAGCGAAGAATTGAATTCTTTCGTGTAATGGCAACTCTCTTGTATATTAGGAAAAAGATCCTGTAACATCGATCATACCTTATATAGGAAGAATATTCATTGCACTATCAGGTTGATCTAAAGGAGATTTCAGAGCATTTGTGTAATATACGAGTTGCACAAAGAGAATACAAAATCGGTAAGGTGGCGTAAACTCATAATAAGTCCTCAAATTGTGTTAATTTGATAAATGGCTCTATGAGAAGCTCGCTTAGCAAGACCTGAGTAGAGAGGTAGCACAAGCTTTCGATGATACTTACCAGAATAGGCTTCACCCAAGGCTGGAAAAACTGAACAAGGTAAGAGTACCGGCAAGTTACTCTACCAATCAGATTATTGGGTCGACCAAGAAAAAGATTGGTATCCTTTCTGGGCCATCTGAATTGGTAGTCTGAGGAGACCGGTTAGAGAGTACTGAAAGGAAAGGTACTGGGTAGTCTTGAAGGAAGAGTACCAAGGCTTGGGTGAACTTTGCAAAGGCCAGGTAGTTAGGCAGTGTGGCCTGCCCATAAAG